GAAAAAATAAATAAATGCAGCAGAATTGCAGAGAATCTTTATACAAAAAAATCAAAATGAATGAAAAAATGTCTGAGCCTTAATGTTGGAGCATGTTTCTTTTTTTGCTCCCTAAGGACAGCAACCACAGAGTTTGTAGAGGGAAAGTTGGAAAGTACCTTAAAGTGCTCATCTCTTTTTCCAAAAGAGTTTCTTCTTCCCTTATGTTCTTGTTCAAGCTCTGCATGAAGCTATCTTTTATTAGATGTTTAAGGCCTATTTTGTTTTGCACTATGTTTGGTTAAGCAGCTGTTGTGTGTTTCTGTTGGTTCTCTTTTCTAGGGCTTCTCTGCAGGTCTGCAGGATGGCTCAGACTGACAGCAAGGTGCTCGTCCTGGGAGCACTGGCCGGAGTGACTGGCATCGGCCTGGCTGTTGTGTGTTACCGTAGTTTAAGGTCTGAGCGAAGACTCTCCTGGCCAGGGTTTTATCATAACCGCACCAATGAACAGGGATCCGGCCTCATGTTGGTAGACGGTCCAGGACTTCCCAGGGGTCAGGCAGAGGTCTTGGAGCGCCTAGAGGCCCTGATCCAGTGTGTATCTGAGCTGAAAGAAGAGATGAAGGCGTTGAAGACAGCTCTGCCTGCTCTGCCGGACCAAGTCAGGGAGGAACTGAAGGGGCACAGCGAGACGCGACGAGTTGGCGCTCCTCACAGGACCGCAGCTACTAGGAGGAGAAGAGCAGCAGGCGCCGTATCCACTGCAGGGGGACAGAGCTCAGAGGATGCGGAGAGCGAGGGAGGGTGAGTTTTTCTGTGCGCAAATGTGAGCAATACATTCAAAAGTCCTTAAAAGTCTTAAAAATAGATTATTTACATTTGAGAAAACTAAACTCAGCCAGAAATAAGTCCAGACACTGAAGTATAGAAAAACATGTACATCCTGCACTTTTAATGAAATAAGGGTTAGGAAAAAAGCAGTATCCACTTTTCCTCAATAAATTCACACAATTTAAAGACTAATCAGATCTTCACCAGTTTATTGAAGTTTGCAGATCTTTATTTCTGCATGGCGGTCTTTAGGTTCCACCTCACCGCTAAAACAAGGTGGATCTTTAGATTCTGACTAACTCAATGTAACACCTTCCCTCAGCTGTGACACATTTTCTCGAAGCACTTATTTTCAATCTGTTTTTTTTGATGTCTTGGAAAGTTTAGTAGCTATCTAAAATGTTATCCAAAAATCATTTGTTCTGTAGAAGCATTGATTTTAGATGATTTTAAATTCTTGTTATCACCAATATCAGGTTATTGAACATAAACTCTTCAATATAGCTTTCATTAACACACAGCTGGAAGCTCCAAACCAACAAACTGTGACAGGTTTGGTTTTACAGACTTGAGCTCAGTGATGATGATGCTTTATAATTCTAACCACAGCTTTCATTTAAAAAAATAAATCTTTTATCATATTTTCACAAATATTTGAAATGGATCTGGACAATAAATCAATATTAATATATATTGCTTTATACTTTTATTCATTTTTAATTATGACTTTTGGTATATTTATATACATTATGGTCTATTATAACAGCATTTGTCACTGACTTTGTCTAGTTTTTATGTGTTTTATAATTAGATCTAAAAGGTAATAATTAGATATTAAGCACTTTAAACAAGATGATGGATTTTTTAAAACTTATTTTGAACATAAACTGTCTTATTACAATGGAAAATGTTCATACTTACCTGCTGATCTCAATAGAACAGTAAAAAGGTAAGATATTATAATTTTTTCAGTGTAATTATCCTACATTTGTACAGGATTCTGCTTTGGACATTCTAGGGAGTCTTTCTGAGACTTTTATTTTGTTTATATTGATATCTAAATTGTATCATATGCACCCAAATGTGGAAATATATCGAGGTATAAGTCTTGTTCCGGAAGTGAAGCTTTGGAGGAGGATTGTTTTGTAGTTTTAGGTTTGGGGGAATCGGTACAAAGAAAAAAAGTTAAGATTTGATATTAGAAGATAATAGATTGGAATACGCTTTATTGTCCTACGGTCGGGAAGTTTAGGTGTACCAGCTGCAAAGTGAAAGGCATTTGGATGAATATAGATACACACAATGATTTAAAAAAAAAAAACACTCAGGAAAAACAATCTAGAAATAAGTAAAAACGTCTTGAATTAAGTGTATTTGCCCTTATTTTGAGAAGGTAAATTAAATAGTTTGCCAATGGAGTGAAGTATTTTTACTCTTAAAATAAGATAATTAGATAATATGCACTTGAAATAAGACAATGCAATTTTGTTTCCTTATTTTAAATGTAAATTGTCTTGTTCCATTGGCAAAATGTATCTTTTACCTCCTCAATCCAAGAACAAATGCACTTATTTTAAGAAAAAATTACTTCTCAAAATTTCCATTTTTTCCAGTGCAGATGGAATGATGCTGAAAAATAAAGGTGAATTTATAGCATAAGCAAAAAAAAATGCTGCACAGTTATAAAAATCAAACTGAGATTAAATAAATGCAACTGAGGGCATGACTGGGAAAAAAAATGTATATAACATTTATGCATATTTATAAAAGACAGCAACAGAATATATACAACAATAGAAAATTTGTGCATAAACAGCAGGGATGTAAACACCTGGAAGTGGTGGTTATAAAGTCTTAAAACCTGCTGGGCAGGAGGATCTGCAATGACAATACTTTGTGCACCTAGTACGTATTTAAAATCTCACAGAAATGACTTTTTAAAAAGGTCATAAAAAGTAGTTTAAATAAAAACATCTGTTTATGATGGGGAATTAGTGTCATTACACAGTCTGTCCACCAGTCTCCACTGTTGCTGCAGCTGAATGTTTTAACTTTAAAGCAGCTCTAAAGTAACCATGGATGCTTTTTGTCTTCTATAATTGGTCTGTATAAAGCTGCTCATACCTCTTATCTATAGAGCAATTTTATACAAATGCATAATAAAAGTTTTATTACATCATTAATACATTTAGTCAAATAGTTTCCACAAACTTAACTCTTTTTTTTTGGATATTAATTAAACCCTACACAATAAACATTGACATTAACAACCCCATTTTTATTGATTATGTGAGAAATTATAACTTCTTCTGTTAATTTCCACTTCTTTATTTAGTATAAGAAGGAAATGGATTTGTCGTCCGTACCTGTGGAACCAGTTTGTTGGTTTCATATTTCAGATTAAACTCTGACACATTTCTGCAGGATAGAAACGGCAAACTTATCAAGCTGCTTCTTTAACCTGGAACCAGAACCTTGAACCTACGCCAGCCTTAGTTAAAGTAAACAACAGACAATTTTTCTTTTTGAATTGGCTCCCTTTGAAAGGCCATTCTTAGGAAAACAAACACCGGCAGTAAAATGACACAGATTAATCCAAGGTCTAAGTGCAGGATTGCAGTGTCGCTTGTGCATGACACTCTTCTCTCGTTTCAGTGCAAACTATAAACTATTTACAGCTGCAAAACCAAGAGAAGACATCGGAAACATGATGAACACCTGGTACATCTTTCATGATAATTAGACAGTTTGTGCAATTAGCCCTGAGATAAATCATGTAGACTGCCAAATCAGCGTTATTACCATCATAACCACACTCTTTGTTTGGTATGCACAGAGGCTCAGATCAGATCTGTGTAATTACCGCCCAACCCTGTTTGTGGGGAAGGTTGACCAGATGCATTTGAAGAGCACATTTTTTTTATGACTGTAATTAGCATAAAATAGGTCAAATAAATAGGATCTACAGATAGTACTGCATAGGGCTGCACCATCTTCACTGCAATATCAGTGTGCGCAGGATTTTCCCATCCCAAAGGACCTTTTGAGCTGTTGGCCAAAACGTCTTAAGCGTTATTGACATGAATTTCACACGCTAAAGGAATGATAAAGGACTGCTGAAGACATGTATGATTATCGCAGTAAGGGCCGGATCTATCAAAGGTTTGCGTGTATAAAAACGTGAGCTATTTCACTGC